TGTGTGTGTGTGTGTGTGTGTGTGTGTGTGTGTGTGTGTGTGTGTGTATTGTTGGAGTCAGAAGTCCCAAGTTTCACTGGTTTGAGTCCTTAGATGTTTCTTAATGAAACTTGTATGACTTTGTGAGAAAGGAGAAAAGTGTCTCTTTTCACATCCAAGGACTTTTTCTACCTTCTAAAGTCCTTTCCTTCTTCACTTGGCTGCAATGGTTATAATCCTTCCCCATGGCTCTACTAGCACCCTAATTAATTTGGTTCTCTCTTGGAGTAGCTTCTTCAGTGGGAGTCCCAGAATCTATATATGAAAGACTGTCAGCCCTGCTGAGTCCAATACTGAGAGTTTTTTGTGCAATTCCAACATAGAATAGAATAACAGAGTTGGAAGGGACCTTGGAGGTCTTCTAGTCCAATCCCCTGCCTATGCAGGAAACCCTACACCCCTTCAGACAAATGGTTATCCAAGATATTTTTTAAAACTTCCAGTGTTGGTAACATTCACAACTTCTGGAGGCAACTTGTATTTCTGGACACTGGACAGTATCCAATTCCTGGATGCTGGAAAAGAATTGAGCTTTTGTTTCAGCTTCTAACCAAGACCTCCTGTCCAGATTAATTGTATTTATGTATTTTTATTTTATTTAGTTTATTTGTCCAGCATGTATTAGATAACAGATATAAGTAACATAAATATTAATACATGAAATGGGTATGAATAAAAAAGGAACAGTAGGAGGGCGGAGCTGGCGTTGCGACGATACAGCATGCGATCTTGGAGGTCTGAGATTGCTGCCAATATCTTTGCTCCTGGATGATCCTATCAGATCTAAAGAAGATCCACTGTCTGAAGAGACAGTGAAAGTGAAGAGTGCATCCTGTCAATCCCAGGGACCCTGCAAAGTCCCTAGTAGATCCAGGAGAAGCTCTTCTTGCCAGCGGCAAAGAGGCAGCCATTAAAGCTGCTGAAGTTGGGAAAGCTCCGAAATGGAAGAGAGCAGAAAGAGAAAGTGCGCCGGTTTGGTGAGAACTTTTTTATTCTAAGACTTGAAAGGACACCCTAAGGAAAAGAAAGAATCTGTAAAAGTTTTGACAGAAGTGATTAAGTTGTGATTTTAAACGGAAGTGTCAAAGTAAGGTTTTTTTTCCCCTTTTTGCTGGATTTCTATACGTGATTTTGTATTTTTGAAACTGGACTGGTTCTTTTCTTATTTATACCTATCTTTTCTTCTCCCTTTTGATTTTGTAATATTTTAGGCTAGAGAATCCCTTTAGTTACTTAGCTACTTCCCCTTTTTTAATATTTCTTTCCTCTTTTTTTGGTAATTTTTATTACGTTTTGCTTGGGAAAGGAGGAGGAAAGTGAGAGCAAAGAAACTTTGTAACACTGCCAACTAGAGGCTTGAAAATGCTTTATTTCCTGCCCTTCCAGCTTGAAAGGCTTCGGCGGTGGCAGGAATCCACGATCGTGCATGGTTCCTGTCACGCTCGCCGCTGGCATGCCCCTGATCCAGCTGGATTTGGGGGTTAATAGTCACCCCATAGAGGTGACTGAAGATAGAGGAGGCCCAACAGGGGTTCGGCAGGATCGCAACCCCCTCCTCAGCTGTCTCAACTCCTTTCTCCAAAAGCGGTGGAGCGGCGGTCAGCAATGGCCACCACAAAGAAACTTTCACCCGGAAAAGACTGTGCAGGAGGAAGCAGAGAAAGTGAAAGTTTTTGGCTGAACTGGGATAACAAGTAACATCTAAATACCCTGGAAATTCAACTTTTTTTAAAGATACATTGTTCCCTAAGAAGATCGTAAAAGCGGTGGAAGAAAGTTAAAAGGGAAAGGTTTTTTTTTCTCACTTTCCTTCCCTATGGAAATAGCAGAAGGAAATCAGAAAAACCTGTCTTGGCAACAGAAGGTAATTAAATTTGAAAAATAAAACCAAGGGGGTATTAAAGATTTTTGAACACTGGAATCAAAAAAAAATTTTTTTTTTCCTATAAGTGGGAAGGGAGAGATAAAGAACTTATATTAAGACTTTGCCGGAGGAGATTGCTTGGAGCTTGTAAGACCAGAAACAAACTGTAATAAGACTTCTAAAAAATACATTTTGGAACTTTCTACCCCAAGAAGAGAAAGTATAAAAAGAAGAAAGTGCTAAATGAAACAGCTTGTGTTGATTAGGGTTGCTTGGTGACTTTGGGACTTTTGAAAATTATTTTTTGAAAGATTAATAACTTTTGGGCAGTTTAAAAAATCTCACAATGGTATTATCTGTTGAAGAATTGAAAATGGAATTTCAAAAGTTAAGAGTAGAGGAACCAGAAGGGAAGGGCTCTTCTGGATCTGTTTTTCACTTTTGGGAAATGGCGATTTCTACCTACCAGGAATTACAACAACAAGAAAGCTGGGATGAAGAAGAAGAAGCCATCTTTAATGAACAAATAACTTTAGTTGAGGAAGAAAAAGGAAAGAGGGGAAATAGAATGGAGAATTCAAGATTTAAAAAAACAACCCAAAAAAGGGAAAATAAGGTGAAAAACCGATACAATGCCAGAAAGAAACAGAAAAGAGGAATACAACAGAGAGGAGAGATTAAGAGGGTGGAGACTAAGAGGTGGGGGAAGTAAAAGGCTAGATTGGACAAGAAAGGAAGGGGAAAAGGGAAGAGAAGTCACAAAAGCTTGAAACAAGATGTAAAAAAAAAAGATATTTTTCAGAGACAAAGGGTAAAATACAATTAAAAAGAGATTCTGCAAAAGCACACAAGATTGTATTGTAGTATTGTATTTGAAATAAAGTTAGAAAATTGGAATATTATATGATTTAATAAAATATTAAAGGGAATATGTAAAATGTTTAAGATTTAATGAAAGAGTTTAATTTGCTTTGGATTATTGTTTCAACTATATTATAAATGTATTATTTTCTTATTTTAAAATGTATGTAGAATGTACTAAGCAGAATCAGAATGGAAATTATATATTATCTTAAGTGTTAAATCTAGGGAAAAGATAGACCCCAGGAAGAGAAAGTTTAAAAAGAAGAAAGGGACAAATGAAATAGTTTGTGTTTACAGAAGAGAGTGGAGATTAAGAGGGTGGAGATTAAGAGATTGGGGGGGGGGGTTATATTATAAATCTATTATTTTTCTATCTTAAAATGTAGTAGGTAGTTTTAGAATGTGCTAAGCAGAATCAGAATGAGAATTATATATTTTTTTAAGTGTTAAATTTAGGGGAAAGATATAAAGGCATCATACTTCAATTAGTGATTACAGGAGAAATATTGTGTTAATAAGAAAAGAAAAATAGATGATTACAGAATGGACAAAAGATATTAGTATAATGATCTAAATTGACATGAAATAAATAAAATAGAATTAAGAGAGTGAAAAGAGGGGAGAAGCCATATAGAAAATATAGAATGGTAAATAAGATATGAAATGGTATATGCATGAACTTGATTTATGTCTGTACCAAAAGATATAACCTGGGATTAGGCCACTTTCCAAAAAGAAGTTTTATGTTTTTATGTTTTGTGTTTTGTTTGTGCATGTTTGTTTATTGAAAATTAATAAAATTCACTTTAAAAAAAAGAAAGAAAATGCTTTATTTCCTGTGACCAGACGAAGCTGAGAAAGCTGAAAAAGAAAGAACTGAGACTCCTTTTCAAGGACATTGCTATGAGATAAGATAGAGGGAAGAGCATGGGAGAGTGTTATTGCAGGTGTTCTTCTGGATTTCTATCAACAATTGGAGCTTGATGTTGAAGCTTACGAAAAGAAAAGGTGATAAGTCTTTGGAGAAGAGAGTTGTAATAAAAGCCTTGGATAACTAAACAAAGTGCAGTGTGCTCTTTTTATTTTTTCTAAGCTGTGCTATCCCTCCTTACCAGCTTTACTGTATTTTTCTTTTTTTAAAATCTTTATTCTTGTAATAATTATTTGGGTTTTTGGCCTGGTTGGAGCTTGTTTTTGTCTTTTTTTTTTTGGAAGTCCAATCTCCATGTTTGCTTTTTATTTTAAAGTGAAAGCCTTAAAATCCTTTTCTCTTTTCTTTCCTGGCATCTTTTGTTTTTTAATCTATTCATGTTTATGCACTTTTTTATATTTGAGACCCTTCAATTGGATTAAGGTGTTGAAGAACTTGAAGAATTTTTCCCCTTCTCTCTTTTTTAAGTCTTTTTCTTTATTTAATTACTGATTGGATTAAGGTTTACAAGAACCTGAAGAAATTTTCTCCCCACCCCCTTTTTATCACTATTGGGTTTTTTTCCTCTTTGCCATTTTTATTTTTTACTCTGAATTATAATTGGCTACTTCACAATTGGATTAAGGTTTAGAAGAACCTGAGGATTTTGAATTGTTTAAAATGAGTAGGAAAGTTACAGCTCCTGGATCCTCAACTTCTACTTCTGCCTCTCCACCATGTGGAGGACAATGTTCAATACAGACAATGTTAAAGCAAGAAAAAGAACAAGAAAAAGTGACTCTACAGATGATTATGCAAGGAATCCAAGTTATTAAAGCAAGATCAGAGACTATTGAAAAGAGAATAGAGAACACTGAACAAAGAACAGAGAAAACTGATGAAAAAGTGGAGAACATTCAACAAATGATGTCGAAGTATGACGAAAGATTACAAAAAATTGAAGAAGATAAACAAAGAGACAAGAAGATTGGAGACATTGATAGCAGATTAACTGTGGTTGAACAAGATAAAAGTGGTATGCTGAGATGGGAGATGGACAGATCAGAATTTTATCTTAGATTTCAAAATATAGAGGAAGAAAAATGATAAAATCTAGCTGAGATAATGATAGAAATATTGGCTGAAGCTTTGGAAATAACTGAAGAGAAGATGATGGATGGAATAGAAGAGGTATATTGAGTCTTTACAAGATATGCGATGAGAAATAGCTTACCAAGAGAAGTTCATA